TCCGTTCCCACCGTGCAACCACGCAGCGTTCGCCGCCGTCTCGTCCGTCAACCTCTCGGTCGAGAACAACTTATCCCTCAAGTACGTTGTCCACGGCCCCAGCGTGTGCGTCCAAGTCATCCTGGCCAGCCCCGCCGCGACGTGGCTAGCTGTCTCGATTGCGCCGACCTCGCACATGATCCCAACTACCACGACATCCAATGATCTGCCCACGTGACGTTCACAGATTCATCCACGCCGACGCTGCCGGCGGAACTTTGTTGTTCTGCCGGCTTGTTGGAGGATGTGCCGCCCGTCCAACTCAACGACGGCCTGCTGTCCATCCAAACAAAGTTGTCGATGCAGCCACCGCGTGCATCCAAGTGACCCTGACCAACTTGCCGTCGGCGACGAGGTTTGGGCTCTCTTTCGCCCCGACACCCAACATGATCAACTCGCCAACCAACAACGCGATCGTGTACAATATCGCTAACCACACCTCAATCACGGTCAATCTCGTCAAGGCCACACCAGACTCTGTAGTGCCTTCCGCCAACCCATCCGCTTCTTACAAGCTTGTGCATGCCTCGACGATTGGCGGCACAGCCACCTACGTCTTAGAACGGTCGTTGGAGGCCACAACAGCGACCGACGTTGCGATCTTGCTCGAAGCACCCACCATTGTCAGCTTGGCCGTTGGCATGACCGCATTCCCCGACTTCCACCACATCCAAGGGTCGGCCGAGCTACAGGTTTCATCGCGTGGAGTTGTGGCCGTCGCTCCACCTGCCGCGACAACGACCCCGGTGGTTCCTGCAGTCGCCAGCCTATGTGACGAAGCGGCGGTGGCATCGACTCTGTCTGTCCGTCTGGGCAACGGGCCCCTGTCGATGCAAAGCGTCCTCGTTGGCAAGTCAGCGTGCGTTCGCGTCACGTCGTCCGACTTGTTGTTCGCTTGGTTCGGTCTCTCGTTCACGCCCACGACAAATATGATCAACGCACCGACCAACAACGCGATCGTGTACCAGCAACGAGTCCTCAAGTGACCCTGACCAACTTGCCGTCGGCGACGAGGTTTGGGCTCTCTTTCGCCCCGACACCTCAAACGTGGCAAAGGGCTTCGACGTCCGAGTGGATGGGGTCTGCACAGCGCTCATTTCGGTCTGATGCGCGGCTGCCCCGCGACGACATCGGCTGCGTGCTCGTCCACGCATCTCGCAACAGTTTCTTGAACACCGCTGGGCGTCGCCAGCCCAGTCTACCTCCGCAGCGCCGTCCACAACAACTCGGTCTGCATTCGAGTGTCGCTAACGAACCAGCCCAATGCAACATGGTTTGCTCTGGCCATTGCCAAATCGAGCAGCATGATCAACTAGCAACCTAACAACGCCATTCTGTTCACAACCCACAATGCG